AACCATTCAGACTTACTGACATGATGATGTTACAAAGTGCAAGCAAAGTCAATTAGGAGTGACAGCAAGGCAGGGATTATCTTGATTAGACACATTCATGGAGGAGAAGTTTATTAAATTTTAATCTAATAAAACAGTGCTACATCTTTATAGCAAAATATAATCTCCAGGTTCAGAAACTGTGGACCAAAACAGACATTATTTTCAATATGCATCAAGCAGCAACTTTTTTTTCAGTTTTATGTGAAAATTGGACCATGAAGAAAGTAGACAGGAAGGAAATTTAAAACATGTTTTTGAAGCAAGGTTCTGAAGGATAGCTTTGGGACTCCCCTGGACTGACAGAAAGAGAAACACTTGGGTCCCAGATCAAATCATATCAGAAATGGACCAGAAATGATGAAATTGATGGTGTTGTACTTTGGTTACTTCATGTGAAAGCAAGACTCACTGGAGAGGAGAATCCTACTAGAGAAAGTTGAAAGTTGAGAACAGGAAGACCAAATTTGAGATGGATTGACTCTATAAAGGAAATCACAACCTTGAATTCACCACCTTGACACCACTTAACAACCTCAGGATGCAGAAGCCCCAGTCTAGATTTTAAAAGTCTCTCTTATCACACTAAGTTCTGAGCCTCATCAAGAGCACTGAGCCTACTCTAGAGTAAAAATGAAAGAGGGAAAAACCCCATAGGTGCTAGACACAAATTTAAATGAAAGTGCATTTTGGAAAGCATGTGTTGCTTAGCACATGAACTTCTGCTGGGCAAATGATAACCAAGGCCTGTTGTTGTCATTCCTTTCCATGTAAGCTCTGAACATTGGCCTTGTTGGTTGGGGATGATGGGTGTTGGGAGCCCAAGAATATTTGGAGAAACACAGGTTTTCCCTCCCTTCCTCAAGATGCAAGTTTTCAAGAAGCAGCTGCCTTGTTGCAATTGAAAACAAAACATGGTATAAGCCTGATCCAGCAGGCCCTTTGTAATGCTTTTGGTTTCCTGGGAGTAACCCACTTTATTTCGATAAAGCTTCTCTCAAGTAAGTGGTATAGGTTTAGATACACTAACAGACAGCACTGGTGCTGCAAAATTGTCTCCAGAGCTTCTGGAATATTTTAGTGCAAGGGTATAATGTGGTAAAGTCTTTTTGTCCGTTAATAAACACGCTCAGGGTGGGAACAACTGCTATTCTTTTAGGACTGAAGTAGCTATCTCCCCTTCCCACACTGCTGTCCACGGTTCATAAATTCTTTCATGATGAAAGTTGGATTGCTTCCTCCAACAAGCCAAGTCAGTGTAACAGGGGAGACTTATAGGAAGAACAACCCCCAGCTGTATGGATACAGCTTGTAGCTATGCGTGCCTATTATGCAGTAGACTGAAAGATGCTCTGCCACATTTTGCGTGGGATTGATCCTGATTTGCTCTCTCATTGTGATGACTTAGCATTGGTTCCTGCAGATCTGCCTCTTGCCTGGTTGTTGCTGCACTTGGTCGCTGTACATTTCAGTGATGAATGGCCTCAAACCACACCTTGTTTCAGGTGACAGTTGAATGCTTGGAGAAATCTCAGGAAGGTGCTTCGAGGCATGGCTCTCCTGTATTCTGGGTGAATTTATCTGGAATAACTAGCACCCCTACCTATCATCACAAGGCATTTAGCATCATCCTTCCCACAGATGCAGGCACTACAAGGGAATAGCCAATCTTTTCAAAAGGATCACATGCAATCTTTTACAATATTTATACTGTCCAGGTCATAAGTGCAACAGGCTGGCTGAAGTACATTCACACCGTCATTAATTTGCACAAGGTGATGTAGATTGAGTCCCTAAATGGAGGCCGTTTTGCAAATTGATCTCAAGGCACGTTTACTTTTAGCACAATACCGCGACACTAACTGGCAGCTCGGAAGCCTGATTCTGTCCATGGGGATGCTATTTGGCTGTCCAAATGCTCAGCATGAGAAACAAATCAAGGATGCAGATGAGCGGCTCACACAGGGAAAGAACTTGGAAGCAGGCTCTTTGTGAGGACAGAGGGTGGAGTTTAGACCACCATCCTTCCTTCCAGGGGTGCTCAACCTCTGGCCTAAGGGACTAATCCAGTCCCCAAAAGAACACCCCCTGCCCTGGCCCCACCTTCTTCCCCTGAACCACCAATGTCTGGATGGCTCCCATGGCTTTTGTGCAGTTCCTTCTCCCCACAATTCTAGCTGAAAATGCTCTCCGAAGGCAGAAAGAGCTTTAAACTCATTTTTGATGCTGCTGCTTTAATTTTTTGGTTTTGCTCTTTTTGCCTGGGCGGACAGAGGTCTCCCCTATGCTTTATCCTGCTGACCATTCAGCAAAGTCAGTTGCTCACCCCTGTTCTGAAGGAAAGGACTAGATGGCTGGAATTTGTGCCTTTTGGAGCTCTCTTGGGAATCCAGCCCCACTTACGGATTTCCCCCCTTTCTCTGCCATTGCTTCTGTGCAATTCCAAAAGGCAAACAAAAGATCGGCTGCAAATGTATATTTGTTGCTGAACGCTCTGGGATACACATCTGCCTTTAATATTCAAATGTGTTTTCACAGGCTCTGAGGCTAAGAAACAGCAACTATTTTATAGCAAACATCCCTTAGTTGATGATTCTACAGTTGCAAAACAAGCACTGCTTTGCTTTTTGCATTTTTATTTCATTTTGGCTTTCCTACCAGAGAGGCAATATCTTACTAATTTGGTGCATGGAAGAGAACCTCTCTCTGCAGCAGGATATCTGTTAATTTAAGGAGATATCAAAAATGGGAAAGAAAAACAGAATTTATATGCAGCACATACAGCTCTGGCACAAATTGCTTTATCTTTCTTGAAAGCTGCTGATGCAGTTCAGTAGTTTAAGCCTCTCGATATTCAGCAGATCAGGATAAAGGGCAGCCAGAATCCTCAAGTTACCGGATGACTTGAGTGGGGAACTGTTCCCCTGGCTGTGTTGCAGCCCAGTCTAGCACTCTGTATATGCATTGGACTAGGAATGCTAACACTCCCAGGCAGGGGATGATGGGAGTTGTAGGCCAATGCATCTGGAAAGTGCCAAACTGGGGAACCCTGACCTAGTCACTGATCAGATTAACCAGGGCTTCACTCTATAAAAGGCAAAGACTACTAATGCAAGGGAGAAAGTCAGTCACAGATTCTCAGCCCAATCTTCCTCACAGGGTTGTTGTTGTGAGAATGAGAGAAGGAGGAGGAGGAAAATTATGTAAGATGCCTTGAATTCTTTCAGAGGAAAAAAGTGGAATATAAATATAATAAATAAATAACATTAGCCATGTTCGGGCATGGCTAAGAAGGGACATTTCAGTCACTGCTCATGTACTGAAGAACATGGAGCTTTCATGAATGAGTGAATATTATACCCAGAGAAGGATGGCCTCAAGGACCTCCACATGCTAGTTACCTGCAGAGGAACACATTTCCCTCGTGACCAAGTCATGCTGCTACTATGGGAGGCTGCAAAAGACCAACTCCAGAGCAGGGGTCATGCAAAGACTCAACGCCCTGCCTCCTTTGATGGAGAGTCGTTTTCTTCTGTAGTGTCTCTGCTATGCCTTACCCCCTTCCAGTCAAGATGAGCCCAGAGTGACGTCCTCCTCCTCCTCCTCTTCCTCAGGCCCTATTGCCAGACCTAGCACCTGCCACAGGTGCGGGCCACTTGCAACCCTCCAGATGTTTTGGCTTACGATTTCCATCAGCCCTAGCCAGCAGAGGCAATGGTAAGGGATCGGGGAATTTTAGGCCAAACTGCAAGCTGTGGAACTCTAAACGGTAAGGTTCAAGGGAGGTCAGTGGGCATGACACCTCTCAGGTGATGTATAACATCGCACCTTCAGGTATGGAGAAGATCCAGGGGCTTAATGCACCCTGATCGGTTGCACTCCGAACTCCAGACCTCCCAGGAGGAGAGGCAATGGTGGACCTGAGCAGAAGCTGAAGCAGCAGGTGCCTCCCAAGCCCTACCTGAGAGATGGGACCAAGAGCCACTTGCCCTAGAACGGGGTGGCTACTCCAGGAAAGCGTGAGGAGTGGGACAGCAGGATCAAAAACAAAGCTGCTGGCTGGGCCCGTCCTGCTTGGCTCGCAGACATTCCTGAGGTGAACAGCTCCCTGCTTGCTTGGGAACCTTCACAGATAAGTGTGGCTGGCAGGAATAGACCATTCCCCATGTTAGCAGGGACAGGCCGATGGGAAGCATGCAAGGTCTGATCTACAGATTATCTTGAGATGCAGCACACTTCTATGTGGCTGGGTAATTGGGACATTGAACTTGCCTTTAAGGATTTAATAAATTCATTTTGCACAGTACACCAGTGCTTCTTTCCAGGCAGGGAGTGCAACTGCACAGCATAGAACACTATAATTTTATTTTAGGCTATTAAAATTAAAGTTGAAACCTAACCACTAATGCCTAACCATCATTATACTCCTCTATTAGCCCACATAACAATTTCTGTTCTTAATATGACACATCAAACAACATACTTTAGCATTGCATTTCTATAATACCTACTCAGAATAAGCCCTGATGACATGTTTAGTGGGTCTTCCTCCCATGTAAGTGTGAATACGGTTGTTCTGTAGCAGTGTTACTATTACTATTTAATGAAGTTGTTTTTCACTGCCTACAGGAGTCCTTTTTCATAAACACTTCTCTGGAAGATGGAAAGCATTACTAATTACAGTTCATGCGGAAACACAAACTCTGTCTTCATGGAAATTACAGTCCAACTTTGTCCACAATACATTTTCTGCTTCTTATTATCCAGTACACTCCAGAAAGCATTCATTGCCATGCTGTATATTATTAAAAAGAGAAAGTGGTTAAGTAAATTGGTTTTTAATGGAAAATAAACATATGACTTAAGGAGCAGGAGAGAGAGAGAGAGAGAGAGAGAGAGAGAAACATGTTTCTAGGAACAACTCAGTGGGCAAAGTGAAGAAATGTATCTGCTACACTCACCTTCTCGAGCAGTTGTCTCAGCTGCCTACTTTTGGCATCTCTGGAGCAGAGGTTTTGTTCGGGTGCGACCACAGTGCAGATACATCTCCCATCGGGGTCTTGAGCAGAGCTGTAGACTTGCCACCCTTCTTTTGGACTAATTTGAGTCTGCAAACAAGAGAACGAGGCACAGTGATAGACACGGACTGAACCAAGGCAGAAAATTGGGTTATAAGTACAAATGGCCATTTTAAAAACATTTTCATAACAGCATAAAGAAGGCTCTTGTGAATCAGACCAAAGGTTCATCTAGTTCAGCATTCTACTTCTGTAACAACCCCTGGGAGAAGCCCAGAAGCACAGCATCTTTCTCCTTGGGTTCCTATGCTGCAGCTTGTACATGGCCGTCAGGAATAATGGCCCTTGAAGGCCATACTCGTGAGGTGTGGTGGTTAGTTTTGGGCAGGAGAACTGGGAGATCCAGGTTGTAGTCCCTACAGCCATGAAGCTCACTGGGTGACTTTGGGCCAGCCACTCCCTCTTGGCCTATGACTGTCTTAAATGGTTTGTTCTGCTTCATAGCTGCCATGTATTCACCTCCTATTGCCAGCATTACTGCCCACTTTCTGCATGTTTCTTTTACATGTAGCCACTGCTTTGCTGGACTTTGAAAATAAGTCCTGGACAAAGCAGCTGTTTTATTGAAGTCCCCTTTCCACCCCCTCCAGCAGGGCAAGAGAAAGATCACCATGGTTTTTCATCAAATTCTGTTTGTGATTCAGTATAGCAAATCATTCTGACTTTCCTCATTACCAATGTGTCTTGTGCTTTGGCTGGGACTAAGAAAAAACACATTTGCCTCCGTCTAGGTCAGTGAAAGAAAACAGCAAGAGAAAAAGGAATAGAGGGCTCTGGTGGGTAGCAGAGTGCTCTGTATGACTCACATGAAAAGAGACCTTTGGGATGACTCACTGGCATGCAAAAGAGGACTGAATCTCTCCTAACTTTTCCTTGAAGGTGCTTGACATAAAACCCTGCCTTCTGCTAACAGGCAGGGAGAGAGACAGCTGGTGGGGGAGGTGTTCTACACTGGGTTGTGTATCTCTGTATCTACTTTGGGTTTTGTCAAAGCATTGAGATCTGAGCTGCACACAAAGAACTCTTTCCTACTTTCCCACTGCATAACTTATTGGCGGAGCTGTGCCACCTTGGAGTAGCGCAAATACACAGGGCAAAACAGCCCTGTGATGATATAATATCACATTCTTTAAAGAGGAGGAGGAGGCAGGGAAGGGGAAGGGGAAGGAGGATGAGATAGCCCCACATAGGAAGCGAACAGCTCTTCCTCTGGCCAAATCTGCACTGGCTCATCTGCATCTCGTTCCTGTACACGCAGGGACAAGGCATCAGACGTTACTGTCCCTTCTTTCACTATTCAGAGAATGGGTGCAAGGTAGAGAAACAGCAGCCAGGGTCTCAAGGTTCCAGAGGTTGATGGTGATCCCCCAGCTGCTGTATAGCCTGAAGTGCCTGATCCTGCCTAATCTTGGAAGCTAAGCATGGTTGGGCCTGGTTGAAATTCGGATGGGTGACTTAAATGTTGGGAACTGCCCAGAGAGCTTCAGCTATGGGAGGTATAGAAATGTAATCTGATGATGATGATGATGATGATGGGCCTTCACATGTGCCCAATTATACCATTTCTGAAGCAGCTGCACAACCTGGAATTTCCTTAGTCAGAAAAGGTATATAAGCAGTTGGACAATCAAGCCCAGATACAAATCTATTTATCTGTATAAACTTGCATGGCCCAGTCTTCCAAATTCCAATACAGGCTGAGGACTGCCTGGAACTAACCTTGACATCCTTTTGGTGCCAGGCCAAAACTTTCCTGCATCTCAGGTATCTGATAGCATATGATATAGAAGTATTTCTAATGGATCCAGGATATATTATTATGTTTGTAACTCAATGTATTTTTTGTATTTTTGTATTTAATGGTAATTTATTATGTGCTATTGTATTTCAATGTATTTTATTGTGTTGTAAGCCACCCCGAGGCTTCGGCAAGGGGCGGCATAGAAATGTAATAATAATAATAATAATAATAATAATAATAATAATAATAATAATAATATTTGTACATAAATGGTTTTGCTGTGTTTGAGAGCTTTGACTACTGGTATAGATAAGTATGGTATAGATAAGTAATAAAAGTATGCATGGACATTACACACACATACAATGCAGTAAAACAGTATATGTTGTCCAAACCTGCCAGCACATAGGGCAGAGACTGGTGTAAAGGCATACCTTGTTCTTTTGTGCTTTGCAGATATTGTGCTTTTTTACAAATAGAAGGTTTGCAGCAACCCCAAGTTGAGCAAGTCCATCAGCACTTTTTTCCAACAGCATTCGCTCATGTCATGTCTCTGTGTCACAGTTTGGAAATTCTCGCAATATTTCAAATTTTTCATTATTACTATATTTGTCATGGTGATCTTACTACTGTACTTGTTTTGGGGTGCCACGAATTGCACCCATATAAGATGTCTGCAATCTCATGATAAAACTTCAGCAGGTGAGGAGTTGCTTCTTATGAATGAGCTAGGAAAGTGGTTTCTTGAGACAGAAACTACTCCTGGTGAAGATGCTGTGAAAATTGTTGAAATGACAACAAAGGATTTTGAATACTACATAAACTTGGTTGATAAAGCAGTGGTAGGGGTTGCGAGGACCGGATCCATTATCGAAAGAGGTTCTGTGGTGGGCAGAACGCTCTCAAATAGCATTGCATGCTACAGAGAAATCTTTTCTGAAAAGAAAGTCAGTCGATGCGGCAAACTTCATTGCTACCTAATTTTAAGAAATTGCTGCAGCCACCCCAACCTTCAGCAACCTCCAACCTGATCACTTAAGAGCCATCAACGGTGAGGCAAGACCCTCCACCAGCAAAATGATAACAACTCGCCGAGGGCTCAGATGATGGTTAGCATTTCTTGCAATAAAGTATTTTTAATTAAGGTCTGTACATGGTGTTTTAAGAGATAATGCTATTGCACTTAATAGACTACAGTATAATGTAAACATAACTTTTATATGCACTGGGAAAACAAAACATTAGTGTGACTCGTTTTATTGCAATATTCGCTTTATTGCAATGATCTGGAACCGAACCTGCAATATCTCCAAGGTGTGCCTGCACACTGTAACCATCCAATAAGCAATTTCTTCCAAACTACAAAACACAAGCACTCACCTGCTGAAAGGGAGCTTTAAAGGCACATGGAATCCTTTTTTTTTAAAGAGAAATATGGTGCTGACATCTGGCTTTAACTGGGTAGAGCTTTTCTTTCCATTAAAACAAAGGAGAAAAGAGGTTTCAAAGAAAAGGTGTGTGTGTGTGTGTCTACAGTCACTGAATTGCACCTTGGCCTTTGTACAGGAATCATCTTAAACAGTCCCCTCCAGAAAACAAAGCAGCAAAGGCTTTGAACAAGATGCAGGACTGGAGGGTGGGGGAAATCCATCACGGAAATATAAAGAAACGAGACTGCAAGGCATGTTTCCACCTTCAGTACCATTCAAATCTTGCAGGACTTTGAGAAGTAGACAATAGATATTGCAAACAGAACTTGTGATTAGCAGAGAGGAAAACTGAATCCTCCACTTCTAGACTTATGCTTCTAAACTTTATCACTGAATCCCTCAAGACGATATGGTCAGGATGATCTTCTGCTTTTGTAACATGTACTTTTGCCCTTACATAAGACTGGAGTAGATCTGTAACTGGCAAGGCAAGTTTGCAAAATCCCCTTGCCAGCCCTGGATTCGTTCAAGAGGAAAGTGACAAGGGGGCATTCTAACAGCCTTTGCTTGGAGGTTCACTGGACTTTGCCTTGAAGCAAAGACGGAAGGCTTTTGTGAATCAATGGGTACCTCTGCAAGGAAACACTATGTCACCTTCACCTTTATTCGCTGGCTTCCTGCAAAAGGATGATTCATATTGCTTCGTTCCTGTGTGTACTTGCGTATGTGGCCTGTCAGGTTAGATCATGCCCCTATATGCTCACTAGTCTGGATCTGGAATGTGTTGAACTGAGAATGAACAGATCATTGGGGATTCTCTTGCTGGTCCACAGGGCACAGCCACTCTGTTTTCCTGTCAAACTATTTGGAACTGCATTTTCTAGGACCCCTAATCATTGGCCATGTTGATTGGGGCTTGTCAGAGGTATAGTCCAAAACACAAAGTTCAGGTAGCCTATTCCCTGCTCTAAATAGTGGGCACATCCACTCAATCTTCCATGAGAGAATCATTCAGACATTTGTAGGATGCTATTATTGGTTAGGTGGGTGAAGGCCTTTCTGGTGATGGTCTTCACCTTCAACCAGGCAGGTCTTCAGGAAAGCTGTGGAGACCCACCTTCTCTTAAGTCAGGGCCTGTCATGTGGTTGTAACTTATGTCTCCAATTAACTCACACAGCAACCGGCTATAAAACTAAAGTCTTTTATTACTACTTTCTACAAGATTTACGATGTAATGGATAAGCTCTAATGAGAAGGTCTTGATAGGTCAGTTGCTCCCCCCTTTGTGAAGTCTCTGGGGAGCCCATGTGGGATTAGCTTTTCCTGTCACGTCTTTCCGCTTGTGGGCAGGACAAACCTCTGTCCTGTCTTCTCATTTGCTCCAGCTGTCTTAAACTTCGTCTAGGATTGGCATCGGCTAAAGATGTTATGTCTTCTGTATCTCCTGGACTCTGTCCAGCAGTTTCAGAGTCAAGAGGCGGGGTGGGTGGGCAACTTGCTCACACACCTCAGAGTTGGGATGAGGAGAAGCCTCCCGTTCAGAAGCCTCATGATCAGGCCATGACGAGGCTATGTGTTCAGAAGGCAAAGAGTCAGGGTTTGGGGGGGGGGGTGGGCTATTTGCTCAGCAGTTCCAGAGTCGGGCTGTGGAGGGGCCGTTTGGCTACTGGGCCCCAAGTATAAGTCATCGTGTTCTATGTCTGATTCTCATTTTGAACGTTTGATTCTTTCTTGCGAGTTGATGTCTGTCGAGCTGTCAGGCATGACAGGGCCATTCAGTTTTATTGGTAGGTTTAGTGCACAATCCTTGCATATTTAGACAGAAAAGTGTCCTATTACTCCCAGAATTCCCCAGTGA